CTGACTACTGAACATCTCTAAAATGTGCACATGGAGCCCATTTTGATAGGAAATTTTTTGAGGTTACCAGCACATCACCTTGTAATATTTTGATTCTTCTGGTGTCCAGTAGGTGGTCTTTCACTGATGGACATAAGAGTCTCTATCCTCTGAGCTAAAAGCCAGCTAGCTCCTTTGGAACAAAGGTTATTTCCTAGGAATAAAGCAAATCGTAAAAACAATCCCGTGTGGTTGTTTGGTTGTTTAGTACCGGCTTTATCAAAGTGAGACCCTTTGGAATGTGGTTGCCAGGGGAACCAGGGTCACCGTAAGTATGCTTCTCAGGCTGGCCTAATGATTTGAGTTTGTCAGTTCTCAGCAAGATACCATGGGCTGCCTCAATATACTCCTATAGTTCCTTTCTCTTGACTTTAGGGTTCTTTAACCCATCAGGTTAAATGCAACAATTTAAGGGGTTTTAATTTACTCTGGAAGCGCTGGTACAGCACCAGCACTATTATGAATGTTATAATCGAAACTCCCCACATAATTTGGCAAACACTATTCAAATCCAAATTCCAGCTAATAAAGTGTCTTCTGAATGTAGACAAACATTTCCAAATCAACACCTTCTGGTTGGCTCAGTGGGAGCTCTTCCAATTGGTAATCTCAGTAAACTCCCATATATTATATAAGAAGCCTATGTTAATAAAAAACAAAGGTTTTAAACACCACACTAGTCACATAGACTGCAGCTAATGTATCCACACAAACTGCATAAAAATAAAACCCCCAGCATGCAAACAATTGCTGAGTTGTTTCAGTCTAAACAAGATCTGCGAGAGTACATAATGGCCATTAATATCAATGGAGATCAGATTCTTTGGGTGCTGCAAATCTGCAGATGTCTGGTTTACATCTCCAGGTACCCACCTTCGTGGATATGGATATCCACAGTTCATTTTTGCCAATACAGATGAAGATACAATTTTGTATCTGGGTAGCCCCTTGTAGCCCAAAGTTATCTTTCCAGATGATGTTTTCTAGCTTTTAAAATAACCTTTCTAAGCATAAAACAGCATTGGAGAAACATATTGGCTGTTTCTAGACTGGCCAGTTTTTCCGGAAAATCAGTCGCTTTTCCGGAAAAACTTGCCAGCTGTCTACATTGGCCGCTTGAATTTCTGCACAAGCACTGACTTCCGACAGTAAGAAATCAGTGCTTTTTGCGGACATACTAGGCTGCTCCCTTTCAGGCAAAAGTCCCTTTTGCGCAAAACTTTTGCGCAAAAGGGCCAGTGTAGACAGCTGAAATTTGTCTTCTGCAAAAAAGCCCTGATTGTGAAAATGGCGAACAGGGCTTTTTTGCACAAAAGCGCGTCTAGATTGGCCACGGACGCTTTTCTACAAAAAGTGCTTTTGCAGACAAGTGTCCATGCCAATCTAGACGCTCTGTTCCGAAAATGCTTTTAACGGAAAACTTTTCCGTTAAAAGCATTTCCAGAAAATCATGCCAGTCTAGATGTAGCTATTTTGTTATGTCAACACAAACACTGAACAAGTTTGCAATATACTAAAACTACACCAAGAAAAACAAACTGCCTCATATTTGTTGTAATACAAAAAGTGCTTTTGACTACATTTCCATTTCACAAGACAGCAGAACAGACTGTGATTCTATTAAGAATTTTAATTAAACGGTGTTCGAACAATCAGTGTTCTTTAGTGTTCCAAGCTGCATTCACAAAGACGACTAATTCAGTGTTTCCCTATTGGTGCTCCGTGGAACCCTGGGGTTCTGCGAAGTGAAAGTAGAGGTTCTGCGAGGAGCCAGCACTCCCCCGCCCCCTCTGAAAGAGAGAGCGCCGGCTAGTCAGCTTCTTAAAGAAGCAGCACACTTGTTTCCTCTTCCATCCTGGCAACGCAGAGGCGTAGCAAGGCGGGGGCAGAGAGGAACAGTTGCTCCCAGCCGGCACAATAGGGGGGTGCTGGACAGGGGTGACCCCACATGATCCACAGTGGAAGGGAAGCACTTCCCCTCCCCAAAGAAGCAGGCGCACTGCCTGAACAGCTGGGGCTGTAGCACCCGGTAACTTAGTTCTGGAGGTTCGACCAGTCGATCATGAGGCTTTGCCCTCCCCCCCTTGCTACCCTTCCTCCTCAAGATTAACACCTAGTTGATGCTACTTCCAGGGACTGCGGAGGTAGTGCGGGCTTTCTGTGGGGTCGGGGGGAGTTCTGTAGCTGCATGCTCGGTTCTGGATGTGCAGCCTGCTCTCCTCTCCCCCCCCCCCCCCCCTGGCACGATACCTAAAATGCAGGTCCATAGTGCACTGTGGACTTTGTTCCCTTGCTACCTTCCTGCGCGTGGGGAGAGGGTGAGAGTCTGGGAGTGTGCCAGCTCTGGCTGCTTGGGTGGTGCACACTGCTGTGGGGAACAAAGCATGCACTGCCCCAGCAGTTGGGGCTGGCATGGTCTGGGACTCCCCTTCCCCCCCAAGCAGGAAGGCAGTGGGGGAATAAAGTCCCCAGCGCACCAGCTCCAGCAGTTGTGGTTGGCACAGTCCAGGACTCTCCCTTCCCCTGTGCTGGAAGGCATCAGGTATGTGACAGACCAGTGTTTCAGGTACTGAGCCAATGTTTGGGGAATGGAGGAGCAGCCAGCACACTTCTAGAGCCTTGGCATGCAGCTACAGGGATCCCCATTGTGGAGGCAGGAAAAGGGAATAAGGGAATCTGTGTGCAGCCATCTTGGTCTTGTTAACAAGAGAGCAAGAGTCAGGCTAAGTCTGTGGCCTGACAACTCGAGATCTGTAATTAGATGCTGCCTTTGCCTCTATACAGAGATAAGGCTAGAATGCTGACTCTGGCAGGGACCTTGAGATAAGGAGCATCTGGGTGGAACTAAGTAACTGTTAGCCATTGGTGTTTGTAAGGGGAAGGAGACTAATTGTTATTATATTTAATAGACAGTATATAAACTTCTTCATAATTGCTTGTATTCAAAGATCTGCCTGGGAGGGGGGGGCTCCCCCCGTCCAAACCAGTTTTTCCCTTGCTGCAGCTTGTAATAAAACTGCCTCGGGCTACTTGTTGCTTAAACACAACGCAGAGTGAGGACAATGTTTTCTTCCACACCATGTACTGATCCCTGTCCTCTCCCCCGCAGGCTCCCACAAGTATCCTGCCCCGGCACCCACTGGCACCCTGCTCCCAACCCCAGCACACATTGGCATCAGTGGTAAGAGGCTAGTTCCACAGCCTCAGCAAACATGTCTGAAGCAAAGTTTATAATGAAGGAATCTTTGATAGCTCACTTTTTTACATTAAAGCCAGACACTTGTGATAGCATATGGAATAGCAGACATCAAATTTCTCTACTGTTAGAATCCTGACTATTTACAGTTGATCTCAGACTCAGATTTTACTCTCCCCCCATACAAGGACAGTAGCTTGGTAGTAAACAAGAAGCCAAAACAAAGTTGTGACAATTCAGAATATTGGTTTACTTTTATACTAAATTCACATATTCTATGCCTCCTTCTCCTCAGTGTTCCCTGTAAGCTGCTGGGCAACACAGCTTCACAGGTGCCCTTAGCTGACTGACTGAGCTGATTCATGACCTGTGAAGCTATTCTGGTACTCAGCTTAGAGGAAACACTGCTTCCCCACTCTCTTCACTCTGCATTTTAGTCTGCAGTTCAGGGCAGGAATTATTCGGACTTTCACACAGAACTGAACTAGTTAATATAAATGCTTACCAATGATAAAGAACATGGGTAAGTTGCAGTCTCCTTTAGGTTCTCCACTGACGAAGTGAATGTTACCCATATTCCAATGGGTAATATTAAATCTGAAATGCTGACTTGGGCTACAAAGAGTGGTAAAATGTTACAGCTCAGCCCCCTGGATTCCAAACCCTGCTCATATCTAAAACACCTCAAACTGCAAGAGGGTGTCTTTCCATGCCATTTTTGCTACACCAAACCAGGCAGGTTAATAATCTTCACACATTAAGGACTTTCTTTTGAAATTTTACAATTTAACCATTTGTTTGAAATTGGTATTTGTCGGCAATATAGTTCTGAATGTAGTGTTACCCTGCCCTCTCCACATCCTGCTACAGTTGGAGTTCTTCAGCATCTATTTTTTGTTTCAAAAGAATCTGCAATTCCAGGTCAGAGACGACAATGACATGAAAACCTTTCAGTTGTTTAAAAATGGAAGCTATGTGGGACAAGAAGAGACTTTTGTACAGCCAGCACATTTTAAATCTTATTTGTTCTAAGTGAAGGGTCATTTCAGTACAAAGGAGTCATTCAAAATCATGTGATGCTGTTGATCCTAAAATAAAGGCTAGCAAGTTAATTTCCCCAACGGAAGCTGGTCCAATTAGGGATTTGGACCAGCTGCTGTTGGAAAGACTCTTAGGGCTCTTCATAATAGCTTTTCTCTTTCTCCAACACAAGTCTGACCAACATACGTCACCCACCGTCTCATTTAAAAGTTAACACCATGTCAATTGAACAGGTAACTTAGACCAACTGAAAACAAGCAGGCTACATCTAGACTGACATGATTTTCCGCAACTGCTTTTAACGGAAAAGTTTTTCCATTAAAAGCATTTGCGGAAAAGAGTGTCATCGCCCCCGCCTTCCCCCCCATTTCTGCAGTACAGCCCCACTACCCCCAACCCTGCTTCCACCAGCCGCCAGCCCAGATCTTCACAGGACAGCCCTGCTGCCCCCAACCCTGCTTCCTGGTGGCCAGTTTCTCCCCACTCCACACACCCTTCCTCCCAGCCCGCCCTGCTCTGCTCCCCTCCCAGCGCCATGCTGAGGCCCAGTATTTTTTTCCCCACAGCCCGGTATTGGGCCACAGCTCAGTTTGGGAAACGCTGTATTAGAAGAATATTTCACTAAGGCGTCTTAAATGTAAAGGTTGTTTCCTCCAAAGCTCAGTTCAGCTACAGGCAGTGTTTTAAGGCAATTTTGTTAAAAAAAATAAGCACAAAAATCTAGTATGTTCTAGTTACACTGAAGCTTTATTTGCACTACTTTAGTATATAAAGGGTATCTTCTATTATGATCAGTAGGTTTCTAGTATGCAAGTTATTTGAAATACAAGGAGTAGAATATCAAAATTTTAACATTTATGCACTAAACAGTATCCATCTCATACTTAAGTGTCTGCTCATTCTTTACACATTTGGTAGTGCTCACAAAAGAGAGGCTAATTCTCAGACTCATTTGGCTGTTTCATGATGCTCTTCTATTGCAGACCACCAGGCTTGTAATATGGACACCTACAACACAAGAGGACAAATAAGTTCTACTGCAATATGAAATCCTACCCAACCAATTCGTTAGTGTACAAGATGTCTTCAGAAAACCTTTGTTCACCACTAGTCAATCTGCCGGTAATTCCAGCTATTTTTGGTGAGTTTCATCATCTGATATCTTGTTCTGAGCGAAACACATCTGTTTCTCATCAAATACAACAAGAGGGGTCTGGCAGGAGGGACAGGTATATTGTAGAACAGCAATGGGAAACCTAGGCTAGTGAGTGAGCCTCAAGATTGTCTGTCCCTCAGCTTGGAGACATGGCCTCCTTCCCCAGCTGTGACTGCTACAGCTACCATGGACAAGGGCTTGTCACCTGGTCCCAAGTGACTGCTGTGAGAGGGCTGGGGTTAGTTGCCCTCTCTGGAGCAGCCCCACCCAATGAAGAACAAAACATTCCAGTTAAGGACCCAAGCAATGCTGGGTAAATCTTCTAGTTTTTGTTAAGATTCCAGGATTGCCAATAAAACCTAAATTCATAGCCATTTTTGGCTTTTACACTATGAATTATACCCACAGTGCCACAGGGGTGTTCATCTAGAAGATCGAATGCCTCCATTACTGGTCACTTTCTGTTCACTTGAAAGTTTTACCGAGCACAAATTACTTGTGCTTGATGCTATCTGTACATCAGCTGTTAACTGTTAGCCTTTAAAATAGCATTAGCACCTAGAACTGTGCCAGTGTGTTTAAGAAAAGAATATCTCACTCTGCGTCTGAAAAATCAATTATGCCCCATAGAATCTGAATTGAACAGAAAAGTAGCTAACGATCTCTCATTCATGGCTGCGTCTAGACTGGTTAAGTTTTACCGGAAAATCAGCCGCTTTTGTGGAAAAAATTGCCAGTTGTCTACACTGGCCGCTTGAATTTCCGCAAGAACTGACTTCCTACTGTCTGAAATCAGTGCTTCTTGCGGAAATACTATGCTGCTCCCGTTCGGGCAAAAGTCCCTTTTGAGCAAAGCTTTTGCACAAGAGGGCCAGTGTAGACAGCTCCGGTTTGTTTTGCGCAAAAAAGCCCCGATGGCGAAAATGGCAATTGGGGCTTTTTTGCGCAAAAATGGGTCTAGATTGGCACGGACGCTTTTCCACAAAAGCACTTTTGCAGAAAAGCGTCCATGCCAATCTAGACGCTCTTTTCCGCAAATGCTTTTAACGGAAAACTTTTCCGTTAAAAGCATTTGCGGAAAATCATGCCAGTCTAGATGTAGCCCATGAGTTTATAGCTCAACATATACAATATTTGTGTTCAAACTCACCCAAAAAGATTTTCTAGAGCGGTACTTTCCGTACTGCAGGAAAGTCATTCCACTTCCATGATATTTTGGTTGGGGGGGGAGGAAGCTGTAAACACACAAGTTTTGAAACCAATTTTCAAGTGATAAAGGACTGCCTACAGAGAGTTGCTAGTGAGGTCTAGGCACATTGGTTCTGCGAACTTCGGAAGGAAGGGAGTATTTTTTTTTTTTTTTTTCTCAAGAAGTGAGAAAATTAAGAGTTTACTGGGGAATGGGGAGGAGGGCAAGGGAAGCAGAATAGTTGCAAAATTACCACGATGGAAACTTATGGGGGATGTGATTAAGAGTTGTCTGGCCTCTTATTTTCTGAATGCTTAGTGTTTACACACATATACCTTTAACAGTACAAGTGTTTGAAACTGAGTATTTCTTTCATTATGGTAGCACCACATTCTAGCAGGAAAGGAAAAAATCACCACTAGACAAGTGATCTGGAATCACAACAGATGGAAGAGGCAATGTTTTCTGTCCAGATTCCTGAATGACTATGCTACCAGTCCACTGCTGACACGTTTGTGAATTGCACTGCTGAATTACACTAGACACTATTCTTACATAAACAGAATCCGTACACTTTAAGCTAGTGAAATGTGACTGGCACCTTACATACTTTAAGCCAGTGTTTACCAATTTTATTTGGCCATGGAACCCTTTTAAACTTGAAAGAATTTTGCGGAACCCCTAACAGCAACTAGTTTGACAGCTAAAGCTTCAACTTTGTCTGACGCGACGTTAGTATATTCGTATTCAGTCACCCACGTGCTCCACGCTCCCTGAGAGTGAGTACAGGGATTTACAGTGGTGTATAACAGGTGATCACACCGCTGACTGTGCACACAGCACTGAGTAGTAACACCATCATCCCCACTCTCTGGCTAAGCTGGCATTACACAGGGACACTTATCATGGCAAATGCAAATGAAAATAGTTTTCAATAAAATTCATAAATGCTTAAATAATTTTTTAAATCATAAAATGTTATTGTACTGGAATTTTCTCACAGAACCCGCATCTTCACTTTGCGGAACCCCAGGGTTCCATAGAACACCATTTAGGAAACACTGCTTTAAGCTATGGGTAAATACAAGGAGACAGCTGGAGAAGTCTGCCTTCTCCTGTCATGCAGGCATGACCTTGGAATAGGATTCCGGTATAGTGGAGACATGGCAATTCATCAACACTTACCAAGGAAGCTGCTTTCCACTCATATCGACATCTCACTCCTCTGAAATACTGAAGTCAAGACTCTGCTTAGCAAATGGAAACAAGAGAACAGAAGTGACGATTACATGATGCCCTGAGTAGGCTGAGGGTGGAGTGACAACAGCAAGCACAGAATAGCCAGTCTTCAGATAAACTGCATACCGAATTGTCTTTTGGCTCCTAGTACCAAGTTCTAGCATACAGAGCTCCAGACAACCTGAATTCAATATACATATAGCTGTATTTCAGACAAGTTGAGAAGGTTATCGTCAGTTCTCGCATCTGACGGCACTTCCTATTCAAAAGGTATCATCATGTCAACAGCTTTTTGCATTTGTTTGTACAGATAAACACCACAAGCTCAACACTAGATACGTAATACTGTAGTAGATTAACCAATAAGCAAAAGCTTATCGGTCAATGCTACACACATTTCCTCCTCCCCCACCCCCCGGCCATGCACCAGTAAATTATGTAAGCAGGTTGGTCAGCAGCTCAGCTCAGTCCTGGCTTCTGCAGGGTCTGGGACCTAACCCACGGCAGTGTTGTATTGAAAGTGTATTAAGAGCCAGGTGGGCAGGCAGCTCAGTTTCGACTCACGCTGCTCTGGGAGCTTGAACCTGCCCCCAGACAGGGGCTGATGCCAACCTGCTCTGCTGCCCCCTGCCACTCTGCTGTTTTTTAAACTGGCTCTCCTCACAGACCAGCTCCCGTCTGGTACCCCGCAGAGTGGCAGGGGGATCCTTGGGAGTGAGGCCGGCTTCACCCCTCCGGAGTATAGACTAAGTCAACTAACCAATAAGAAACCATGACCGATAGTTAACATCCCTAGTCAACACTTGCAAATTTTTCCTCGAACGTTCCGCTTGGCTAGAATAGGTTCCAAGGCACTAAATGTTCAAATCCATGTTACTTAATCAAGTCTAAAGATCAGATTTATACTGGTGTATTCAGCTAAGTTACTGAAATGCTTCTAGAGTTTCAACCCTCATGGAGCAGCTTCAAAAACCCTAAATAATCTAATCAACTCTTCCTTTTGCATTAAGGCAAGTCCATATGGTACATCACTATCAAGTACTTACCTAGAGTTCCCCCACCCACCAGGAAGATGAATGGCAAGGCCCCCATTTCAACCTTCGTTTGTCAACAAAGTAAGTAAAAATCCCAGAAATGGCTAAACATTTATACAAGTTAATGCAAGAATAAAGCTTACCATATATACTTCAAGACACCATTCTGCCCTAAAAAGAGGAAATACCAATTATCACATGACAACATTATAGTATTAGACAAAGAATATTTGGTCAATTTATTCTCACCACCACCAAACTGCGGGCAACTCCAGCTGCTTTTTGTGTTGTTTCCTCACCTTTGATTTGACCAATTCTATAGGAATATAGGTCTAGATAAGCCGGGGGACTGTCCAGGTCCCTTACGCTTCTATGGACATTAAGATGCTGATTTCAAAATGAGCTTTAAGGCTCAAGTTATCCGCAAGAAACTTGCCCAGTCAACAGTCACTGCTTCTAACGTTCAGCAGCGCCTGTTACAACTGGCTCGACAGTCCCTGTGCCTCAGTCTGTGAAGTTAACAGCACGAGAGAATCCAGCACTAGACCCCCGCTCCAGAGCAGCGCTGGAGAAGCTCGGTGCTGCACTGACAGGGCACAAGGAAGAGCCATCGCAGGGTATTTGCATCTACAGCACAGACACGCGGCTCTGGAGCAAACTGCTCAGCCCTGAGCACTAGGAAGCAGCTTAAACCCTGCATCGGCGCTTGTGTCGGGAGCGGCGGAGGAACAGCCCCGCCTCCTCTCTCTGCCCGGG